GCCTGCAAACCCCCCTCCCCCCCGGGAACACACAGGCTTTTCCTGCATATTGGATATTAGGGGACATGGATTCGGGGTGGGCTTGGCAGTGCTGGGTTAACAGTGCGACTTGATGACCTGAAAGGTCTTTTCCATGAGAAAACGTTTGACGAAATGGCAGAGCAGCCTCACCTGCAGCTTTAAATGCTTGTTGCTGCTGCTGGAAAAGCAGCTCCTTCCCAGGAAATCACTGCCAGCCTGGGATGAACTGCATCGCCTGGGATGGCGGAGCAGGGCTCAGCCCTGCACCCTGCCCTGCTGGGCTGGGGCTGGGAGGGGAGAGAGGGGGGCAGATGCCCACGCTGGTCTGTGCTGGGTGAAAAGTTGCCCTTGGATGATGTTGCAGCGCCAAGAGCTGCGGCCAAACGCCGGGAAAGGGCGAGTTCTGTGCCCTGAGCCCTTGGGTTCGGCCCGGCCCGTGGCTGCGGCTCAGCAGAGAGGCGAACAAGGGAATATTTTTCTCTCCTTGTAGCTGGTCGGTGGTGGCTGCGCCAGCCCCGTGTGCCCTGCGGGTCTGTCCCGGCCGCGCGTCCCTCCCGCGGGCAGCGGGGAGATGTTCGCGGTGTGTCCGCCCAACGCCCCGTTCCGGGGGGGCCCCGCGCTGGGCACGGGGGTCCCGGGGGCCGGGCACGGGCAGGATTCCAACTCCAACTTCGTGGGAGAGGTGTGTGACAGCAACGAGAACTGGAGCTGGCCCGAGCCGGGGTCCCTGCCGGGGGAGGGCTCCGGCCGGAGCGAAAACACAGCAAATCCGGCCGATAATCTGCTGGTATTAATGCAGAGACAGACGGTCCAGGCCCGGCTCAGGGACCCCCCCCTGGGCCTGGGTACCGTGCGGCCGTGTCCCCCCGAGCCTGGGCTGCGCAGCCCCCCCGAGGGAGCCGAGGTCGGCGGGCCCCACCGCCTCCCCCAGCATCGACAGCCCCGCCAGCGCCTGCGGGAGCTCCTGGGACGCCCCCGCTGCTGCCCCCTGCCCCGGGACCCCCCCCCAGGCAGGGGTGGCTGAGCCCGGGACCCTGTTCCCGGCGCTGGCAGAGGCCGTGCAGCACCTGCAGGAGCAGGAGCGCTTCAAGGAGCTGGAGAAGGAGAAGCACCACGTCCAGCTGGTGATGTACCGGCGCCTGGCCCTGCTGCGCTGGATCCACGGCCTCCAGCAGAAAGTTGTGGACCAGCAGAACCGGCTGCAGGAGAGTTTTGACACCATCCTGGACAACCGCAAGGAGCTGATCCGTTTCATGCAGCAGGGCCCGGCCTGCCTGGCCGGGGCGGCCGCCCCCAGCCCCTGAGCTGCTGCTGCCACCTCCCTGCTGGGCACCTGGGAGCCTGCCCTGCCCTTCCCATCTCTCTCCAAAGCACCTGAGAGCCCCCAGAGTGTTCATCTTTGTTTTCCCTCTGCACAGGAACTCGGTCCCTCTGCGCCGTGTCCCACCGGCCTGAGGACTTTGGGCTGTGTCCAAACCTCAGGACCTTGGGGTTTGCTCAGCCTGGCTCATGTTTTGAATCTAATTTACAGCCCTTCGTATGAGCCCAGCTGAGCCACGTGTGCTGGGATGGGCCCTGCAGTGATTCCCAGTGCTGCAGCAGTGAGTGCCCTGGCGCAGGGAAGCTTTGAAACCTGCCTGGGTGAGGCACTTCAGAGCATTCTGGGGTGCAAGCCCAAGCCCACCTCATCCCCTGCATCCCACCCACACCAGCACACGTATGGAAACAACCCAGCCATGGTTCAGCATCCCTTGTGCTTTCAGTGTGAGCAGGGTGCCCTGAGCTGTCCCTCAGGTGCCCTGAGCTGTCCCTCAGGACTCACCCCAGTGCATCACCTAATGACCACATGTAAAATCTTTGCAGATAACGTGTAAACTCATGCAGAGAGATGGGGAGAGAGAGAGAAAAAAAATATTTCTGAAAAGTGACCTCAGAGTGCTTAACAAATAAATATAAATGTCAGCCGATCGGAACCCAATAGATATTTTTTAGACTCAGTATTAGAGAATAATTAATTTAGATTTTTCCTGGCAGTCAGTGTGTGTGTGTGCACATCTCTCTGTTGTGGCAGATGCTCTAACCCAGTGCATGACCAGGGAGCTGCTTGGTGCTTATATTGTGCTGTTGGTGTTATATATTAATTTATTGTTCAAAAGCAAAGAAAGTATTTTTTTTTCTAGTCTACATTTTCTCCAGTGCAGAGTGCATACAGAACACAAAGAGCAGTCTTCTTAAGTAGAGGTTCCAAAGGAGAAGCTGTGTGTGTTTGCTGTGTTTTACCAAGTGCTGCTGTGCCCTGTGTTCCAGTTCAGTTGCTGATGTGCAGAGCAGCAGTGGATGGTTTGGCAGGAGCCGGGGGCTCCTTTTCCTGCCCCTGCAGAGCCAGGCCCTGATTTCATTGCTTGTCTGCAAAAGGAGAGTGGTGAGAGGTGTCCCAGTGCTGTGTTCCCCCAGCCAGACTTCTCCCAGCCATCAGAGGAGTGGAGCTGAGAGGTGGCTGTGACTTTGCCAGGACCCTTCCAGGTCCCCTCTGCCACCCACCCCTGGACGCTGCTGCATGAAAACCAGACCAGCCCTGGGCCCAGCAGCCGGGCTCTATTCCCACCTGGGGCTGCTGCCAACTGATAAATGGGGAGATCTGCAAAACTTGGCTTCTGAAGAGGACATTTCTGTGGCAAGGGGCACCCTTGGCTCTGCGTGGGCTGTGCCAGGGGCCGAGGCGTGCGGTGCCATCCCTGCCCTCCTGCTCGCTCCTGTCTCCTACCCCAGACCTGTGATTGTGGGCATGTTGCACACCTCAATAAAAGCCTTAGAGCTGAAAGAGCTGAGCCTTGAGTGCATCTTTTCCTTTCTTGCCCTCTGTGATCTGTGTGTGTCGAGGGCTCTTGGCACCCTGCCCCCAGCCCTGCCTCCCTGGGCACGCGACACGCGGCGCCAACACCGGCAACTCATTCATGTTTCATTTAAAAGCCTCTCTCTGCTTCTAAAAACTCAAGTGTGACACTGCTCCCGTCTCCCCCCATGGCCATGAGGTGGTGGGGGGGCTGTCACGAGGGTGCAGCAGGGATGCAGGATTTACCCTCCACCCCAGCAGAGCACGGCTGGAACCGGGGGGAAGCATTCTGGGGTGCAAGCCCAAGCCCACCTCATCCCCTGCATCCCACCCACACCAGCACACGTATGGAAACAACCCAGCCATGGTTCAGCATCCCTTGTGCTTTCAGTGTGAGCAGGGTGCCCTGAGCTGTCCCTCAGGTGCCCTGAGCTGTCCCTCAGGACTCACCCCAGTGCATCACCTAATGACCACATGTAAAATCTTTGCAGATAACGTGTAAACTCATGCAGAGAGATGGGGAGAGAGAGAGAGAAAAAATATTTCTGAAAAGTGACCTCAGAGTGCTTAACAAATAAATATAAATGTCAGCCGATCGGAACCCAATAGATATTTTTTAGACTCAGTATTAGAGAATAATTAATTTAGATTTTTCCTGGCAGTCAGTGTGTGTGTGTGCACATCTCTCTGTTGTGGCAGATGCTCTAACCCAGTGCATGACCAGGGAGCTGCTTGGTGCTTATATTGTGCTGTTGGTGTTATATATTAATTTATTGTTCAAAAGCAAAGAAAGTATTTTTTTTTCTAGTCTACATTTTCTCCAGTGCAGAGTGCATACAGAACACAAAGAGCAGTCTTCTTAAGTAGAGGTTCCAAAGGAGAAGCTGTGTGTGTTTGCTGTGTTTTACCAAGTGCTGCTGTGCCCTGTGTTCCAGTTCAGTTGCTGATGTGCAGAGCAGCAGTGGATGGTTTGGCAGGAGCCGGGGGCTCCTTTTCCTGCCCCTGCAGAGCCAGGCCCTGATTTCATTGCTTGTCTGCAAAAGGAGAGTGGTGAGAGGTGTCCCAGTGCTGTGTTCCCCCAGCCAGACTTCTCCCAGCCATCAGAGGAGTGGAGCTGAGAGGTGGCTGTGACTTTGCCAGGACCCTTCCAGGTCCCCTCTGCCACCCACCCCTGGACGCTGCTGCATGAAAACCAGACCAGCCCTGGGCCCAGCAGCCGGGCTCTATTCCCACCTGGGGCTGCTGCCAACTGATAAATGGGGAGATCTGCAAAACTTGGCTTCTGAAGAGGACATTTCTGTGGCAAGGGGCACCCTTGGCTCTGCGTGGGCTGTGCCAGGGGCCGAGGCGTGCGGTGCCATCCCTGCCCTCCTGCTCGCTCCTGTCTCCTACCCCAGACCTGTGATTGTGGGCATGTTGCACACCTCAATAAAAGCCTTAGAGCTGAAAGAGCTGAGCCTTGAGTGCATCTTTTCCTTTCTTGCCCTCTGTGATCTGTGTGTGTCGAGGGCTCTTGGCACCCTGCCCCCAGCCCTGCCTCCCTGGGCACGCGATACGCGGCGCCAACACCGGCAACTCATTCATGTTTCATTTAAAAGCCTCTCTCTGCTTCTAAAAACTCAAGTGTGACACTGCTCCCGTCTCCCCCCATGGCCATGAGGTGGTGGGGGGGCTGTCACGAGGGTGCAGCAGGGATGCAGGATTTACCCTCCACCCCAGCAGAGCACGGCTGGAACCGGGGGGACCGGATCCCCCTGCCCCGCGGCCCCCGCTGCTGGGGGGGGCTGGGAGGCAGCTCTGCCCGATGGGGATGGCAGATAAAAACACCTGAGTATTGACCCAAAGGTGACTTTGCCTCAGGCCCTGCAGAGATTAGCCAGAGATGAAAAACCAAAGCTGTAGCAGGCCTTTGAACCTTCCTTCACCTTTTTCATTGCCCCCCCTCCCTCCTTCCTGCTTCTCCTTTACAGCCTTGGAATCTGTGGGAATTCAGGGATGCAATAGCCCCTTTTACAGACACTGGGGGCTGAGTTAGCAATGAAGGGATTCATAACTCAGCCTTACCCATGCCCTGCAGCCAGCAGGTTTGTCCCCAGCCCTGGCTGGGTTTGTCACCATCTACATGTGCTTGGTTTCAGACCAGTTCCCCTGGCGGGGCACCAGCTCCAGCAGGTTCAGGGGAACATGAGACCAGCCCCCAGAGAGACCCAACAGTTCTGTTTGTCTTGGTTGGATGCTTTACACGAATAATTATTTCCAAGGTAAATACTGGGAAAATCCAGATTATTTGCTCAAGAAATGAAAGAATAACTGCGGGAGCACATCAAAGTGATGGATCTCCTCTGCAAGCAAGAGGCTTCCTCCTCAGTCCTTGGGAGCCCTGGTGCTCCTGCCCCAGGAGCTGCTCTGAGATGGCCAGAGCCCATTTGCAAAATCCACTGCAGACAGAGGGGTTTTTTCCACCCCCCAGCTCTGGTGCCCAAATGAGATTTGGGAATAAATTAAAAACCCGACCAACCTCAGGGGGAAAAACAATAAAGACCCAAAAAACTGCAAGGGGGGGCCTGTGGCAGTTTTTTTTCCTGCTCTTCCCTGGACACCAGCACCCCCCAGACTGTAGCACCACAAACCCTCTGTGCAGGATGGGTGCAACAGGCAGGCAGTGGCCACAGGGGCAGGGACGTGCCCAGGGATGGCATCCTCTCCATCCTCAGGGGTTTCCAATCCTTGGTAAATAAAGGACTCGATCCTGCTCGTGATCACTGCCCAGCCTGGGGGGGAAACTCCCTACAGAACCCAGGGCATGGGAGCTTGAATTTCCATGCACAGCAGACAGGACCCTTTGTTTTTAAGGTCTCCTCTGAAAGTTTATTGTTATTATACGAAATCCCTGTAACACTGGCCTGGTTTTACTGTGCAAAGCAAGACTTGGCAAACGTTGCTGTTCTTTGAAAGTTAAAATAATAGTGTTCTGAAAAAAAAATCAAGTATTTATGAAGCTTTGCAGGGAAATATTTTACCTTGTAATTTGAACCCATTCTAACTCTTTCCAGTATTTTGTGGGCTTAAAAAAAAGTCTTTAAAAATAAAACTGAATTATGTGATAACTGATGCCATGAAAGTACAGAAGAAAATTAATCATCTTGGGCCATTAACATCCAGAGACCCAGACTGGGACATACTTAAAGCATCCCAGTATCCCTTGTTTATTGTGTCTCGGAGACTTCCATAGCTCACATGTTCGGTTTACAGTGGGAAAAGGGCTCTGGGCTGGTGAGGTGAGCCCAGCCAGGGCTGCTCCCCTCACCCCAAACACAGGAAGCTGTCAGCTCCCACCATGAGGCTCCGCACCCCTGGGCAGCCCTGGGGTCCCACTGCCACATCCCTCCTGCCCCTCAGCAGTGCCCAGAGGAGCAAGGCTGCCTGGAGGGATGAGCTCAGCCCTCACGGGATCCAAATGTGCCGTCGCCA